GTGTACATAACCTCGGATTGAAGTTAAATGTTACTTTTAAAGCATAAAAAGTCAACCGAAGAGTATTGTAGTTTGTAACATATATTAAGACTATTTTTGGATAATATTTTTAATAAATATTCGAGAAAAAAAATACAAATGAAAGTATATATATTAAAGTTATTTTGAAGCAAAACTTGGTAGAACAATTTCTGGTGTACCATCCACCCAAAGACAGATATGACAAATAGTAAGAGTATTTGTCTTTTAAAAAAAAAAAACACTTTTGTCTAGATCCGACATTACAAGTATAAGACATGTTTCTGTAGTTTCACCATAAGAAAAATAAGAAAACAAAATTAAAAGTATAGATGATTTTTGTTTTTTATGAACATTTTTAAAAGAGAAAATATTTTTTATATAAATTAAAATTAGGTTATGCATCAGTTAATGTGTAGAAATTATTTCACTAATTTCTCTAGATTTTTATTTCTAACTTGTGCATGAGTTGGAGAAATCAATTTCATCTTTTTTTTTTCTCATTAAAAGTGGTAATGAAAAACTTGTCCAACACATGCTTATAGAATTTTTGGTATTCTTCAAAACATTATTTATTATGTATTTATTTGTCCCCAAACTTATTAGTCATTTTTTATTTTATTTGATTATTGTCCTTTTGTAACATATTTACTTTTTGGATGTGTTTTTTAATAAACTAATAAAACATGATTTCTTATACTATAGTATTACATTTAAAAATGAAAAATAATAAAAATGGAGCGTTATTTAAAACAATAAAAATGTTCATTAGAATATTCAATATAAGTAATTGTTCTGATAAATTTCAATACTAAGGTATATTGATACTTTTTTTTTAATTGGTACCGAGATAAACAATATTTTATTAAAATAAATTTATAAATTAGTTGAAATCTAATTCTAATAATATATTTTATAATTGTAAAAATATCATCAAGATTTATTATAATTTCTGAAAATATTAAAAATTATAGAGTGTTCAATGAATATGTAACAAAAGTGAGCATTGAGGTCATTTAACAATAAAAACTAGCAAAATTCTAAACAATAAACTATATATTGTCTATTTTATATTATCTATAAGGTGAAATTTGTAAGTAATGAATTTATTATCATTGGTTTACTCAAACAAGAATCAATTGAAATTGAAAAGACAACCATAAATTGTGAACAAGTTAAACCTTTCTTCTTGGTGAAACTATCATGCATAGAAAAAATATTGGGTAGTTTCTTCTCGTAACAATAAGAAAAAAATAGACAAAATTATTATTAGCTAAACTACCTCCATTTTAAAGTTGTTTTTCTAGGTAACTTACCAATATAGGTAAGCCACTTATCACTAATATGTGATTAATCATTCTTTTGTTATATGAAAAAAATCAAATAATTGCCAGGGTCGCTCTCCAATCAAAACTGTTATTTTTTATTTTTTTTAACTAACTTAGAACCTTCAATATATAATATTATTAATTTATGAAAAAAAAATTATGAACTATATTCTTAAAATTAAAAAACTAAATTAAATAATGCGTTATTTAGTGTAAACAAATTCATATAAATAATATTTAATTTCTATCCATTAAAACAGTTAAAAGTGTCATATATGTATTTATAATAAAATTTCTAATTAAATTATAAATATAATAATTTATAATCATAGATAATTTGTTATTGATATAATTTTTTTTTTTTACATATGCATCTCTCGTTCAAACCAAATCCTGAATCGGTGAAGATTCACCTTGCATTCATCACCCACCCTTCTCAGCTACATTTGTTGTTAGTACTACCTTAGCAATATCTATTAAATCTGTATAACAAGATTATGAAGAAATCATGTTTGTAAGGGTAAATTTCTGCGTACAAAACGTTAGGTTTTACCATGTGTAAATTTGTTATAAGAAGAATAATTAACAACAATAAATATATATATATATATATATATATATATATATTAAAAATAATAAAATAATTAACTTAATCCTGTAAAATTGATTTAATAATTTAATAATTATTGTTCACTATATATTAATATATTATTATTATATCTCTAATTGTGAGATTTCTAAACACACTTTATTATATAAAAAGTATTTTCATTCCTTATCTCAACAATGATTGATTTGATAACATGTAGTTAAATTTATCATAATAAATAGTTATAATATTTTAACGCCTCTAAAATTGATTTTAACATCGTGTTAAAAATAGTGAGATATATAATTTAATTTAATAATGTGATGATTGTACTACGATCTTTGGTGATATATATATATATATATATATATATATATATATATATATATATATATATATATATATATATATATATATATATATATATATATATAAATTTTAATTCACACATCTAAACTTATATTTTTAAGGAGTTTTTAAGGAAATTTCTGCTTCTAAATTTTTAGTGATTCATAGGTTATCTTCTGCCAACGAAAATTATTCTTAGAAAGAGGAATGTTATTCTAGAACGTTTGCTTTATGCAATTAAGAGTTTAGAATCATTACAACACAATTTTCTTTCCCATAGAAATTTCTATTTCGTATGTAACAAAATTTTCCAAAATCACTTGTAAGAAAAAAAATTATTTCATAAGTTCAATTTAGTTATATGCAAGTTAAAAATAAGAATTTAAATATATTATTTTAAATAATTTTTATAAATAAGTTAATTTTACTTATGAAAAAGATAATTTTATTAAAAATAAGAATTTAAAGATGTTATATATAAGAGAAATTTTATAAATTAGTTCATACATTAAAAAAAAATTCTTTATGAAAAAATGTTTTTTTTTCTTATTTTTTATCAGAAATATTTTTGAAAAAAATTATCCAAAGTGTAACTCTTGATGGATCGAGTTACTAAAATATCTTTTACTTTACAAATAAATTATTATCTCTTATTATAAAAAAAAGGAGAATAAAACTTGTTATTTTTGAAGGGATGTGACAAATAATTTACTCTATTTCTAAACAAAACCAAGGAAAGACATGTCATCAATTAACTCTGGCATCTGTCACATGTTAGCATTTTTCCACCCATTTCATCCCAATAAACACCCCAAAATGCACAAACACTACACTTCAATTTTATCAAATATATATAAGTAAAAAACATCTACGAATTCCACAATATCTTTAGATTTCGGTAATAGTGTTAAGTTCATTTATTTAGTCTATTTTTTATTATTGATGAAAATTTATCTAATATTTTCTCTTGATATCTGTAATTGGGTATATATGTACCTTAATTTTCTATTTTCTGGTTAGCATCCACACTTTGGGTTAATTATTTCTTGTACGCATAAGGGAATAAAACAATTAAGGGTCACTGTCCATTTGTTCCTTCTTATCTCTTTTTCTTCTTACTGTCACATTGCTTTCCCATAACTAGAGCTTTGGACCTCCCAAATATATATATATATATATATATATATATATATATATATATATATATATATATATATATATATATATATGTATGTATGTATGTATATATATGTATGTGTTTTTATGTGAATATATTGACACCAAGCTAAGGACGAAGAAAACACCAAAATCTGACCCCAATTGGCAGACCAACATGCCCAGAGAAGGGGCTTATTCTGAAAGAGAACTATATTGACTTATATATCTAGGGTTTGGTTGATTTTTATTTTCTTCTGTTTATATGTTTGCTCTCATAATTATAAAAAAAATCATGTCATTTCAACCTTGGTTTTAATTTATAAGATGTTTGTTAGGAAATTGTAAAATTAAAATAATATTCTTATTTCATTTGTTTTTTTTTTAAACTCGAAAAAGAGAAATCTACTAAGTATTGATATACAATTCACTAAAAAAATTATCATTTATTAAAAGATAAAAATGGTCTCGCATTAAGATCTTTGTTCATTTGTCTGAAAATGTTACACTGTTATTGCAGACTTAGAAGATCTACATCAACAACAATATGTATGTATATACTATATTTGGTGAATATATAATTATAAAAATACATTGTATTATTTTCACTGTGTGTTAAAAGAATTGTGAGCATATTATTACTTTACTATTGAAATAAAATTGTAACAAAAGCTAATGAAACACTATAACATCAATAAAAAAACAATATTGTAAAAAATATTGACAAAAAAAGTATGCGAAACACACCATGTTGGTAGGGTTTTCATTTTGTTTGGTCTGAGTCTGACCCTTTTCTGGAGGGTACGTAGAGTGAATGAGTGCCCAATTTGGACACATACATGGTTACGACTCACATGGCTTGGAGCAATTATTCCCAATAAGGACGTTGAGTATTTATGAGACTTGGCTTATAGTTGGCTACTATTCCCTTAGCTACCCATAACGATCAAGAGAATGAAATGTTCATATTAAAGACTATGTGATTTCAAGCACACTCAGTGTCAAACTTACATTATTTGAAATTTTAAAACTTTTCCATTAAAATGCCATGTTCATCTTCTTGAGGCTTGTGTGGTCAAAGATTCTTCATTTGTGACTCGCAAATGTGTGCAAATGGGATGATTAGCAGAAAGAGCATTAGAGTTAATCATATACAGGTTTCGAAATCATATATTTTGATCCTAATTTTACTATTCAAACACGTTTTAGATTTTATTTGATGATTTGGATGAATTAATATTAACAAAATCAGCTGCATAAATAATAAAGAGTCAGGTTAAACAGCTAATTTCACATTTATAAACTTAATCGCAACTTGAATATTAAAATTATACTAAACCAATTCATTATACTATTAAGAATTTTATTTTATATTCTTTATTAAAAAAATGCAACATGTGAGGACTAACTATATAATCTAACACCTTGAACAATAACTATCATTGAGGTCAGGGAAACCTTCCATGAAGAAAATTGTAAAGATGTTGAGGTGAAAAGTGAGGTGGTGGTGGTGGTGACAAGGTTGACGCGGAAGAGCTCTCACCAAAGAAAGAGAGAAGACAATGCCAGAGATCATAATAAATTGTAAGTCCTTGTCAACTTTGACATAATAAATAAAAGTTAACTTAATAATAAAATTTATTAGATAATTTATTTTACAATATGACATAAAAATTCTATATAAAAAAAAATCCACTTCAGAAATATTGATAAAGTGATGTGTTATCTAAATGGTGAATTAAAAACTCGGGATAAATTGAGTTTGTTGGGAAAAATATTTTTTTAAAATATGTAAAAGATAAAAAATAAATAAAAGAAATAATTTATTACTAAAATGAAATACTACCATCTTATCAAGAGAAACGATGAGATCACACATTTTACAACCATTCTAAAAGGGTTTAGGATTTTTGTGTTGGTAAGTGTAGCGAGTCAAATGTAATATATTGTTGTATTTATAGGGATTTGATTGAGATCATGTAATTTCAGATTTCACTCAATCAAAACTTGAAGTTCAATAAAACAATTGTGTATGCTAAATTAATAAAAACAGAAAATTGTTGTAAGAAGGAAAACACAATAGGATAAATTGTTGAAATTGAAATTCATTAATAAACATTAAGAGCTTTATACTAATCAAAAAAGCTTTTACATGCCAACAACTTAAACTTTGCCATTAAAAGTTAAGTTCAGAGGCTGATTAGATTCAAATTCAGAAAAAGAATATTTTCTAATATTAATTTATTTCCAAAATCATGAAATCAGATTTTTCGAACTCCAAACAATAAAAACATAACTAAATCAATACTGAAAATTAGAAAAATCATATATATATAGAAGAGTTTTACATATTACATTCAATCCTTAAAAAATGAGATTAGCTATTCATGGGAGAAAACCCTAAATTTACAGGGAGATATGTGTTATATCTAAAGCATGTGAACCTACCCCAACACAATAAATAATAGTTATCTAAAAAATGTGTTATATCAACAAGTCATAATATCTTATTTAGTAGATTAAAAAAATACTGAAGCTAAAAAAAGAAAAAAAAAATACACCCATCCCATTATCGAATTTGGAGGAAAAAAAAATCATGGATAGGGATTATAGTTTATTGTTTTTGGAAATTCCCGTTTTTTTTATGTACAAAGGGTACTTCAACCCAAATACAACTAAAATTATATTTAAACAACCTATTGCGAAAAGTATATTTAAAATTAATGCAATTAATTGGATATAAACACTCTCACTAATATGAAGTATGAACGTCTTTTCAATACTAAAAAGGAAAATTGGAAGAGATAAAGACGTGCTTGTTAATGTCTTGCTTAATCTACTTACTAAATGAAAACTATATATAGTGTATAAAAAAATATAATTAAACTAAAGTGGTGTCGTTTTCTAAGATTGATGAAACGTCGCTGATGATGTTGCCATATGAAGAGGCAAAGCAAATAGGCAACTTCTCATGTTCACATCTGGTAATTTTCTACTTTATTAGGACATGAAAGTGGCGCAAATGCATTCAAACCCCATATGTTAACTATGGTCCCCTCTCAAAGCCTCTCATGAATGTGACCTTATTATTGGCAAAGAGGTTTGCATGAGATCAACCAAGAAGGGTTCTTGTTGGGACTAAGGGAGAGGATGTGATGTGAGCTTTCAAGGGCTTCTTTCTAAGGACTCATCAAACCCTCCACTTTCAAAAATGTTTTCTTCAAATAGAACAAGACAATAGAAACTTGTCTTATTTTGTTATATAGAGAGCATATGTTTGAGATGGGTTTACATACGAACCTATAAACATGAGAAATACAGATACTTAATTATAAATCTATCAATCATTTTATGGAAAACATTACAAAAAGTAAAATGATTTTAATACATTAATCATTTAGGTCTTTGGTTTTTAGTTCTTTAATGAAATGCACCTTACTTTTAATGTGTTAAATAGTTTAGACAGTAATTTTTAAAGAGAAGATAAATGGTTAGGTAAGGAAGGAAAAATGAGATAAAAAATTAAGAGTTTAGAAACCCTAAACCCTAAAAACAGTTGGTAGTTCGATAGATTGATTAGATGTTTGGAATCAGAAGTAGATCATCAAGTATATGCTTGAAAAAGCATATTGATCATCATAATGAAGAGAGCCAAGAGTGAGAAAATAAAAACTATGTGGAGAAAGAAAGTGTGGATGGTGACATGTCTGTGATGGGCAAGAAAGGCTTAGAATTATGTAAGAGTGAGAGGAAGTTGTATATGGCAAAGTAGAGTCAAACATTGATGAATAAAGAGTGCTCTGTTATATGCAGAAAAGAAAGAAAGAAAGAAAAGTGACAGCAAATATCATTAAATTTTACCATTTCAGATAAATTCTGTGAAAAACTCACTGACAAATGAATGGAACCTCTCTTTGCTCCTCACAAAGAACAAGAGAGGTCACCCTCCCTCTCTTTTTCAATGTGAGTGAATTTTAAGCTAAGAAAAGATAAAAGTGACATGGCCACTGCAGTTATTGAAAGAATTGAAAGAAAAACAGGTTGACATCTTTAGCTCCTCTCTTTTTGTATATGACACTGTATATTTTTATGGAAGAATTTCAAGAAGAGAAAGGTTGAGTATGACTAATCATGATATATATATATATATATATATATATATATATATATATATATATATATATATATATATATATATTACAAAAACAAAGAATTATTTACTTTAGTTTTATTTTTTTAAAATAATTTTAAACAATAATTTGAAATATTTTAGATGAAAGAAAATAAAATAAACTACAACAAAGAAAAATAACAAAAATTTGGAATTACTTTGATAATTTTATCAATGATGTAGCACAATTACTAATATATATATATATATATATATATATATATATATATATATATATTATTGAAAATAAAAAATAAAAAATATTTTTATAAACAACAAACAACCTAAGAATATATACTTAAGAATTAAAATTAATTATAATTTAATTATATAAAAGTAATAATTAATCCACAATCATCAATATTAATTAATTCAATAAAATTATATAACTCATTTAATTAATATTATATATATTATAGATGCTTAATACATTGAATTCATTTTACTCTTTCCACTCTGATATAAAATGATCTTTGCAATCCACCATCTATAATTGAGTTTTTAAAATGGATTTCACACAAAAATTTACATTTTTACATCTCATAAATAATTTATTTATTATGTAATTTATATAATAAATAAAATATAAAATTGAAAAATTTATTTATATGATTATTTTGTAAAAATAATATAATATAAAATAAAAATTTATTTAAAATATTGAACATAACTAAAATTGCACAGTTAATTTAATGTAAACTATAAATACTGATATATAAATTATATTAAAAATTATAAAGGTAAAAAAAAAAAACTATTACTAGCAGTACATTTTTTAAAGTAAATTACAATAATATATCATATATTTATCAAATTATATTTACAATCTTCTAATTTTTTTTACCCTAATGAATTCTTTTATGAAAAAATAAAATTTTAAATCTTTTATGTATATAATATATAAAAAGAATGACAAAAAATGTTTTTAAAATAAAAAAATCAATAAAAAAATCTCTATAATAATTATAATAAAAAAAAACATATTAAACATGTCTGTTTACTCAAGATTCTAACCTCAGTAAACAACAACATTTTAACCAAATGGTTAACATTACAACTTCATATTGTTTTTTAATATATCAAATTTTTTTTAAATCATTAGATATTCTTATTGTTTTGAATTTAGTTATATGTTATAAATATATATTTTTAAACTTTAAAAAGTAAGCACAGATGATTTATCAAGAGCCATGATACTTGTGTAAAAATGTTGAGCACAGATATGTTAAGTTCTTGTAAAATCTTTGACATGGTAGCTAAAAAGAGATCTTAGAAAATAATCTATATATAAAAAAATTTGAATTAATTTCTGTGAGAAGAATTTATTACGATGAAGTTTACCGAGAAAGGTTACGTGGTGTGAGTGATTGAGCCATTCGTGTCGTGTGATTGAATATGATGGTGAAGGACCACGTCTGCAGAATCCTGCAGAAGATGTAAAAACAGCCAAGAAAGAAATAAAGAACCGACACCAACTAGTACTACCATGCCATACATATGGTCCTTGAAAGAGAGACTCTTTACCATAGAAATTGGGTCATTTCTTAGTCATTCTAAACTTAGAATTCATCTTCAACTTCTTCCCTGCTATCTCATCAACACACGTCTCTCTAATAAGAGAACCCTGCGAAGCCTTTGACGTGTGCACAGACAAACCACGTACTCTCACTCTCATTCACTGCTGCTATATAATCACTTAACACAACTATGTTTCATTGTTGTTTGCTCTTTCATTTAAGATTGTTGATCATACCAGACAATACTAGAAATTTTTTCTCATTATTACACTAGTTAATTTTTCATGTAAGATTTTTAATATATATATATATATATATATATATATATATATATATATATATATATATATATATATATATAATCTATTCATCTTTCTCATTGATAAATAATTTAATATGAAACTTTATGCATTTTTGTTGTCAAGAGTCTTTTTTTCATTTTGTTAATATATATCCAATTATGTTTCTGTTATCAATATGCAAAGTCTAGATATATTTGCACTGTGATTAGGTCTTTGGAGCTTAGTCATTAATATGTTCTGCTAGGAATGGATATGTGCATAATTTTCACATTATCTTAAACATTTTCTATATAAGAATTTCTCATATCTCATACATCACCAAACTCTTACTTGATATACCACCAAATTTAATGCATTTGTGTAATTTGAATTATTATTAATTTTGAGAATACAATCAGAGGAATAAATATAAGAAAAATATGTATTAATGGGTCACCAACCACTAATTTAAATGAATTTGATGATATATTTAATTTAAAACATTAAAGTTTTTATTTATATATTTTATTTTATTTATTGTTTATTCTTATTTAATGTATACATTTGTTTAAACTCCAATAATGTTTGTCAAATATAACTTCCTTCAATATATATTTTTGCTCAAAAAGTATTTTTTTTAATCTATGTAGTGAATATGAACCTTTAGAGCTTAGTCATTATTACAAGTAAACTTGATATTATATTGAATGTAGAATTTCATATATATCACACTTAAATTCCTAGAAAATACGACAATAAAAAAAATTAAATTATACAACTATTCATTAATTATTAAGATTTTATACTATATCTTTAAAGACTCATATCACATTTTCAAAAGCTTCCATGTTTTCGTATTTTAATTTTGGCCATGTGAATTGTTGTTCTTAATGTTTATTGTGATATTTACCCAATGTATAAAAATAGTATTATGTTTTATATTTTTAGTAATTAAGTTTTGGGAAATTAAATTACAATTATATATTTTTAATCAACGATTTTTATTTGATAAATTTTCACAGAGATTTTTTAAAATTCAATTTAATTAATTTTTTTTGTCATAAGTTTCTCACATTTGGGGACTGTGATTGTTGTTGGTCAAATAAATTTTCGCAAACCATAAAAATAAGACACAGATTTCCATTTCATATATAACTATAAATATGAAATTATAGTACTTTATACTTATCCTAGTAATTATCAAAGAAGTATCAAATTTGTTTAATATAAAAAAAACTTTATTTAGCTTATAAAAACACTTATAAATCTAGAATTTCAAAAAATCTAATTAAATTTAAAGTTTGAAAACATGCAATTAAGTTTTCATGTAATGCAGAAACATGGTATCTAATTTGATTATATTTATTTTAAACATTGCAAATAAATACCTTCAGGGGTTAAAGTGGGTAATTTTAATGGATAGAATGCATCAAATGAAACAAATAGTTTTTACATTAAAAAAAATTACAAAAAGAATTATACTCACATGTGTCACAATTTTTTTTTACAATTAATCTCAATATATTTCTGTTTCTAAAATACTGAAAAATTCTGTGTTGTGGAGTATCAATGGATATGGGTATTCGTGAGGATGTTTTTAATGTATTTATATTTTTAATTAGTATTTTCTAAAAGTTATAATTTTCAAAATTTAAATGGATATATATATATATATATATATATATATATATATATATATAAATACAAAGTAATAAATTATGTGTACATAAGAATTGCTCTATTATCTTTTTTAAACATGGATTAATTATACATGAAAAATCATACATTACATTGTAATTGCTGCAATAACTTTGTTTCCAGATTGTAGGAAAGAAAATAAGAATTTACAACTATTTTTCACATAACAAAATGAATATACAAGAAATCAATATGACCATATACCTATAGATTTTATTAAGAACGACATCTTCCAATAAATTGTTCTTACTAACTTTTGTTACTAATTAATTGATAACCAATACTTGTATATTATAGTGTTAGTTGCATTAGTTGAATTTCATTATAATTAACTATTTTAAAAATAAAAAATATATATCAGATTATATGAATATAAATGTCAAATTAAATGTTATATTTTGTGCAGAATTTTAAAAATTAAATCAAATATAGTCATGAATTTACAAATATATAAATTAAATATATTACAAATACTCCAAAATTATTTACTTTCGATCATAATCAAAATATAACATCAATATAATTATAATACTATATAACATAATGTGAGTCTTTATCATCAGTAAGCATGATTCTGTTAAATAAATAAATAAATGATTTTTAATTTTAAATAAAAATGTAGGTTATTGATGAAGTTTAATATATACCAATAAATTTATTTCATTAATTAAATAAATATACTATCATATATACAATGAATTGACATAAAGAATAGTTTAAGTTTACAATAAAAAAATTACAAATTTATTTTTAAATTATAACAAAAGATAAGTATGTTGAGAAATTTTAAATAAAGTATCATCTATAGGGTTAGTGAAATATAAAATAAAGAACTAATTAGTTAATTAATTAATTAGTATATCATGTTAATATCAAATACAAAAATCTGTAAATATTCCAAGGACAAAAGGTAAAAAAATTCTAAATTGTTAATGAATGAAAACATACTTTAGCCGTAAGTATTTAAAAAAGGTTATATTCAGGATGATTGATAATTGAGAAACAGAGTGAGGTATTTAATATTGATAAAAACTAAAGTCTAAAAAATATTCCTTAAAAATATGAGTAGAAAAAGGTAGTATATATTAATCTTATTTATATGAAAAGATAGACTTTTGATAACTATGAAAAATGACCTGTGCACAACCATTCAGGATGTATTATCTACATCTAGAGATAAAAGTTAAACAGGTAGCAGTTATGATGTGATAAAAATGATAAAAGGAAATGAATAAAAACCAACAAATTTTATTACTTAATTTTCTAAACACATATCTACTTCTTTTCCTATTTCTTAATTTTCAGAGGTGTAAAAGAAAGGTTAAATCGTAAAATAAGTGATGTAATGAAAAGTATAAACAAATATGAGTATGTAAATGAGAGCAAGTGTGGTGTTAGAGAAAGAATTGTGATTTGAAGTGAAGAGAGGGTGAGAGTGGAGTGAAGAAGGTCATGGGATGGCCAAAAAAACAAGAGTGTTGTCATAGAAGAAAAGAAAAAGTTGACTGTATGAATAGATGAATGAAGTTACTCTTCCATGTGGATCCAAAATTATGTGAAAGGGAGTGAAGGTGGTACTTTGAGAAGGCGAAGCCACACTCAGACTTTGTGGCCTTGTCAGGCTTCACTCTGAGATGGATCAGACCCAATTGTCCATAGATCAGTCCCCACTCTCCCTCTGTTTATAGGACCCACCACCCCCTCTTCTCCTTCCTCACTCACCACATCACAACATAACATAACACAACGCAACACTCACACACCCCTTCACTCTTCTACCTTTCTCTTGTCATACGCCAACGCACAATTCAACATCTCTTTCTTTTTCTTCTTCCTCTCCTCTCATGGACAAGACAACAACAACAACTACTTCGGAGAGAGAAATCCACGATTTCATGAACGTGGACTCCTTCTCCCAACTCCCTTTCATCCGCCCCGCTCCTCTTGTTAAAGAAAAGTCGGGCATTCGTCTCTTTGGTATAGAATTCGCCGGCGGGAATAATACGGTTGTTTCCACCGACCAGTCTGAATCTGCCGAAACAACAGCCAACAATAACCTCAACTCATTCGACCTTGATGGTAACAAGGATGATACTACTACAGCCACCACCACTGTCACTGTTACTGACACCAACGGCGAAAGCAGTCGCCGGTTTGAGTGCCACTACTGCTGCCGGAACTTCCCCACCTCCCAAGCCCTCGGCGGTCACCAAAACGCGCACAAACGCGAACGCCAACACGCGAAACGCGCGCACCTTCAGTCAACGATGGTGCACGGAAGCACGTTCTCCGATGCGCACCATGTCTACAACCTCATGAACTACCGCTTCGGTTCCGCTCCAACACCGCCAATGCCGTATCCTACGTGGAACAACGCCGCTGCCACCGCTACCAGCACGAGATTCTACGGAACGACACCGTTTTCCCACAGCCACCACCAGCACCAACAACCCATTAACGGAAACCCTTTGGCTTTGTGGCGAATCCCGAGCAACAACCCTAGTTTCAGCCACGAACGGTCGTCGTTGCCGTCTTTGTTCGCGTCGGAGGAAATAACGAACTTGAGATCCTCGCAGGTTGTGGGAGCCTCGGGGTCGCAAAACCGCTACGTGTATGACTCTAAACGTGGAAGTGTGCACGACCATGTGAGTTTGGATCTTCATCTGTAATAACATGTTTCCATAGTTTTCGTACATAGTATTATCATGAGCCAGTAATTACCTAAGATGGCACTACGAGAATCGACGGATTTGGCAGCGACTCTTTCTAGAGCGACTTTGGGGACAGAATCCATAAAATATGAGAAATTTCTACCCATGAGGGGGAAATTGTTTCCATTTCTAATTCTTTCTTTCTTTCTTTCTTATTAACAGTTGAATTTTAGATCATATATATGTGGTTTAATTATCACAAATGAAACCTTAATTTATGTTCAAATAATGATTATCTCTGATCTCGTCTATCTACTGTTTTATTTTTTGTCTTTTGACCGGAAAAGAATTAGATATAATTAACAAATTAAACATATGCTTTGTGTTTTGTTAATGTAGAAAGAAGATGGCGGTTGGTTGGTTATCATGTGTTGATTTAAGGCCATAATGGTGTGTGTGTGTGTGTCATAGGTTCAGTGAAAGTAAACTATATGTGTATGTGTATGTGTATGTGTCTATGTATAGTCACGTCGTCGTTTCATGGTGAGGACTGGGAGAACTGCTTCACACGTGTGGGGATTATGGAAAGGGTAAGAGACAGTTGTGTGCGCATGAACAATTTGTCGAGACACACGTGTGCCGAAATCCATGATGTTGTCCAGGCAGGTGGGGTGATGAGAGAGGTGGGTTCTGATTCAATGCAATGTAATTGTGAAGGTCATGATGATAAGGTTTGATGGGTCTGCTCAATTTTTTGCAGAAAGAAAGTGATATTTCCATGCCATTAGCAGGCACCATTGCTCCCCAAATTAATTAATTGCAAAATTACATGTGAGGTGGATACTCCTACTTTTTGTTTTTCACTCACTTATTTACACCAGTGCAAAATATTTAGAGAGAGAATTAACGAGTGACAGGTATATATGAACGCGAAGAATTGAAGATTCATAGATATCTTTCTATATATGTGTGCTTCTATGGATTTGTGCACATATGGACTGGCTTAATATTATTATCATGTCTTTTTGTATGTCTAAGATGCATGGCGGAACCTAGCTAGCTCCCACCTAGGGCTTGAGAGACAGAGTGAGCAAAACCAAGGGTAGTAAACATGGTATGTTTTGTGTTCTCTAAATAGATGGGGGAAGAACATCATCTTTGAGAGCATGTGCATATATGTTGGTTCTTCAACAACATGTTGGAGCTTTTTCTATGTTGTTAACATTGTAGTATGGCTAGCTAGGTTGACCCCAGATGACTCAACTGGGTATAGATGTTGAACAAAGTGGTCCTGATGTTTGGAAACTTTGATAACGTTGTGGAGGTTCTAGAGAGTAGAATTAGAGTTGATGCATGTGTAATGAGTATTGGGTAATGATTCAAAATTGAAGTGACAAGAGTGAATAATTACCAAGTTGATGAGTAGTGTTGACCCACAAGATGGGTCACTTCTTTTATGCCCTTGTTTCCAAAACACAAATCTCATCATTCAAAGGAAGTGGTACCAAGGGTTTTCATATGGGTTTAAAATGGCAAAACCAACCCTCTGAAAAGGATGTGTCTTCCTTTACCTCTCAGGACTTTAAGGAACATATGAACATGGTAGTTACACTGCCATCTTTATTTTTCCATCTTCTGTACCCATTGCTTTTATGTCTGATATACATAGAAAGATAGAGAGAGAAAGAGATGTTAGGTGGGTTAGTTTTGGTGTTGTGAGTGGAAATATAGGACTTGGAGATTCCTTCTCTAGGGAAAGAGGGAGGAGGACATGTTCTCCTTAACAATAATAGACTGATAGTTAGTACTCATGCTTCTGTCTACTTTAATCATCTGTTATTTTGGCAGCACAATGGGTCAGAGATTTATTTGCCACAATGGCCACTACCCAATCTATTACCTTACCTATAAAATTCAGAGAAAAAAAGGCAATCAATCACAAACACATGTTAGAGGTCCATTCTCCTCTAAATTGTTGGGACATCCCATTTTGACTATCAATACCAACATTCACACACCACTCCAATCCCTCCCCACACCATAATTAGATCTTATTCTCATGCAGTTACTTATTTTGAATTTAACTCTTAGACAAATATGTAATGTGATTATAGCCTATATAAATAAGAGAAACCACATTAATGTGAGTGAAAACTTAAACCCTTGTGAGGGGACTGGTAAACAATAAATGTGATACTGCATAATCAATATAGAAAATACTAAATTCCCAACTTTTGTGCCTTTATCAAACATCTATTTGATAAATCTCTTTTGATAATACAATAATCATCTATAATCCTTATCTTACTAAATTTACATAATATGATTAAAAAAAAAGTTGTCATTCAGATATATATTATAAATCAGTTGTCACTGCATCGTTTCTCAATCAATATATCTCCAGAATTAGCTAAGTGAACAAGTTTTATCAGCACTGGCTCTAATGGTGAACACTTAATTAGGTAGGATATAGGATCTTTTGTCTTGTCACCTGTTTCCTCCTTCTAACCATTTCTGCTACATCAAATGTTTAAAAAAAAAAAAAAAAAAACAGCACACACTGTTGAGCAATAATGCCAATATTTGAAACATCACTTAATGAATGTCTGAAAAGTCGTTAAAAAGTATGTAAGTCTTATTTAGAATGTAAATATTATAATTATTATCTTCTTAAAATCATATCTGACATAAAATGTCACATTCAAGAGATGGAACAAAACACATTATTAATCACATACTAAACATTAACCATTCTGGTTCGATGATCAGATGAAACAAAACTTCATTCAACTCTGGTTATTTACAACTACTCATATGGCTCCAGTACTTTTCCACCATTCCATTTCTTACATGTATGGAGAAAACTCTGCAATCTCTAAGGATGGTAAATAATTTAATTTGGCTACAGCTCTTGTTGGCCATTTCATCTGCATCTCCAGGCAATAGTACAAACAACACTTCAATGCAGAAAATTACTCAGATTTGAGATACACATGCATACATCATATCCTGACAGAAGGACTTCAGCAAAATACATATCATAAGTGATTATCATTAATTACCTGAATGTGCTGCTATGGTATCATACAGATTCAGTTTTACATGCTAGAAAAAACAAAATAATATTACGCAAAATCCCTTTCCAGAAAAAGTATTAAGCTATATATTTTTTTCAATATTATTAGATATTTAGCATTATATTCTAAATAACGGATGATAAAAATCCTACAAACAATAAAGAAAAATATTTAAGAAAAAACCAAAATAATCATTTTGTTAATGAGACTCTCAATGTAAGTTTATTGGATGATTTAACATTAAGTAATTTTCTGAAATGTTTGTATAGGTTTATTTATGTATAGGAAGTCAGAAAATGAATTAAAAATATTGTGAAATTTTCATATCTAAAAGACAACTTCAGTTATTTCAATGTTGTCTATAATAAACACTATCTTTCAAAGTGATTCCATGTTAATGGTAGGGTCGGTTCAACTTGAATTTTTAATATCATTATAAGAAATATATATATATATATAGATAGATAGATAGATAGATAGATAGATATAACAAATATATCATCCCTGCATATTCAATGTTTTGGAAAAAAAATGTTTTTGGACTTTATATAAAACATGTTTATATTTTGTTTTACACAAAAAAAAATTGTTAATTTTGATTTTATAAAATTTTCAAACGACTTTTATCCTATCTTATTTATGTCGTGCTATTTAGATATTTCAACTCATGCATCACCTTAAATTAAATAGCACAACACACCTAAAACTTATGAAGTGTTACCTAAAAAAGTTAAAGATTAAAATCAAATTCATAGTTGCAATGATTAAAATCATGTTTAAGACTCTTTATATTAAAATTAATAATTGAGTGAGATTCTGAACCTAGAATTAGCTATATATATATGCTTCAAAGAAAAAACATTAAGAAAGATATTGCAAGGGTTCAACATGTTTTATTGTAAGAATAAAAAAGATAATAAGATGAATGAATCATTGATGAATACATTGTCGACAAACTTCAGTGGAGGTGGACTCATTTGTCTATTGTTTTCCACCGAACAAGTACATGTATCAACAAATCACCTTAAACTTAAATAATGCTTCAACCAACCATGCATGTATTTGTTCTTACGATTAATATGCATACTTTAACATTTGAAACTATAAGATTTTCATCAACACTAACATGAGTTGAGACTAATTTAGTGGACAAGACTCTGCTAATTAAAGTCTAGTTTTAAGTTTCATGGATTAAATGATAGACTTTATTTACTTTTTTTAATTCATTTTAAAATCACGAAAAAAAAAAATTTCATCAAATACAAACAAATGTTTTTTTCTACAACAATTTTTTCCATATACACATTCAATTAATTACTTGGTGGTGTCACAAAGTGAGAAAAAAATTTGTCTTTTTTTATTTATTTCAATTATCAGTGTCTTGTATTTGTTTGCATAATCTTTCTAATACCACAAATAAAAAAAACACAATAATCATATACATAATTTCGTTGTTACAAGTTTATAATTATAATATTGATACTATGTTTAAAAAGAATGCGTGCAAATAATTGACATAGACACACATGATGAGATGAAACATTTCAGGGTGAATAAATGACAAAATTTTGTGCAAAAGTTAAAAAGTGTAGGAATTTAAATACAATGAAATATTTTACTTTTAGATATATGCAATATTCCAAAAGAAGAAAAAATAAACACTCAGGTAAAGAAACCAATAAGTGCATATGCATGCAACTGTTTTATCTTATTTTTTACCAAATGAAAGTGATTGAAACTAAGAACTTTTTTTATTTTTATCAAAACAAGTTTATCACAACAATTAGTAAATGGGGGAAAGCAGTGAATGAGAGTTTCAGAAGCCTCTTGAAGGAAATTAAAGGCAATGTATATTTATATGCTGTCATGATATGTTAAGTACTATGTCTTTCTGACTGTTATGTTTTTCCTTTTACAAAATGAAAAGAGATCTTTCTTACCCTATAATTCTGGTCAGTTTCTCTCAACTAACAGGTGAAATAAAAGGGATGTGCAGAAGTCTTTTGTAGTACAAAACACTGCTCACTTCCCATCTCATGATGCCTTTTGATATAATTAAGGACTCTTCTTTTTCACCAGTTAGATTCTGCAATCTGCATGTATATATATGTGAAATATGTGTTTAGGTTCTCACCTGACTTCATGGTAGCTACTTTGTGGAACATATGCAGATCTTAAATGTTCATAAAATTGAATGTCATTTACCATTGTGTTTAGGTCCTCACCTGACTTCATGGTTAGTGTTGTTCTTGGAGATCACGCAAGTCAAGATATTTAACATATGGACAAATTTTGTTTTTGTGGCAGATTTGACCCGTTTGTAGTCAAACACCAATCACGGTTTGAATCAATAAATATTGAAAAAGAGTGACAAAATCAGAAACACCACAATTATATGTCATCTTCAACAGTTTGAAATCCCACCACCTATTACTACCTCCTAAAACAAACCAATTATGTTCATCCATCCATATATGAACACAATTTAGCTACCAATTTGAAGTTCCATCATGCAAGACTTAGAAAAACAAATTCCACAGCAACAACAAACCACCCTTTTTCCTCAATAACCTATTTTTCACACAAGAAAGAGAAAACCAGACAATAATTAACTTTTGCATCTTATCATGACCAGCCAAAATTAAAACAATTAGGTCATGTAATTTTATTTTTACCAACATACAGATAAACTCAAACCTTCTTTGTATTGAAATAAACAATTAATTTGATGCTAGAGTATGTACAACTCTATAGAGAGGTTGTACAGTGAATAATAAACCATAACAACTTTTCTGTAGATATTTGTTTGTTTTATCAGATGGTCCATATGTAACAATGTAACACATATACACATGTATACATCATTCTAGAGTTTGATAGAAGTAGCTAGCTAGTAAGCTAGGTTGGTTTTGAGTTTGATTCAAAAGGAGATAAAACTGAGTTTGAAGTGATGAAAAAGCCCCACCAAAAGAAATGCTGCAAGGCATGAAGGAAAAGAGATAGATATAAATAAAGACAATCCCACAATACCGCCGTGGTGTTAACATCAGTCCAACTATCCAAGACCCCACAAGTAAATGCAACATATAAAAGCGCATGTGAGGGAGCAAAGGTGATAAAGGCCACAATGAAGACAGAGAGAGAGAGAGAAGAGTACACACATTATGACTCACAAGGACCACTCCTTACTTTCAGATGCAGAGAGGGAAAGAACAGTGGAATTTAAGAAACATCGGCCCACACCTCAATAAAGTTTACAAACGAGGAGGATGACAGTTTCTACAGTGACTATCCTTGTTATGCCAATCTCCTTACAAACCCCTCTTTTCCATCACCGTAACATCTTACAACTTTGTATTCATCCTCTCACCATGCTTGACTTTGTCTCCGTAACCGCCAAACCAGTATTCACCTTCTTCTGTCAAATGCATTGTAATCTTTGTGTGGACATTTTCATTTTTTGTCATGTTGGATCCTAAGCCATATCTTTGTTCTTTTTCTCATCAGGAAAAGTTTAGGTTAATAATGTTTAAATAACACTAATAAAAGTATTTCTATAAGCAGATTTTCACATCCAACAACTAGATTCTAATTCATGTTCTTATACCATGTGAGTCTGGTTCTTACAAATTAGATAGACCTTTGTTGTTATGACTTTGTATATCATTTTTTGTCTATGAAAGAAGTTTAGGTTAATTGAATAACAGAATACTGATAGCAGTATTTATAATTTGTCTATCAACAATAACTGAATTCACATTCTTATTAGGATGAGTCTGATGATTTTGTAATGCGATGCTGTGAAAGTTTTATGTTTAGTTGAACATCAAAAACACATTAAAATTAGGATATAAACTTACATAAGAATGATATTTAACTTCACATTCTTATAAATAATGAATTTGGTTCATAACAATTAGACCATGTATATTTTATATGATGAGTGTTTCACTGGATCCTATTGCGAAAACGTCACATTCCAAACTAGTAACGACAAATTGCACCGCCACAAGGATGACAAATTTAGTTGTTATTCTTCTTTCAAAGATGACTTTATTTGATGAATTTCTTTTTCTTTCCATGAAAATGGGAACAAAGACAAAAATCAGAAATGAATCTGAAAATATGAACATTATAATAAGTTTTTTTCAAATTTTATATTTACATATATTGATGATATATAGACAGACAGATACACTTTCTATTTTATTCACAGGAAAACAAATATTTATAAAAAAAAAAAGCTGGATAAAAAAGTTTGACAGAGACACTACATGTATACAAAGAAGTGTTACTTAAAAATATCCCCTATAACAGCAGTCATAAATAAAGTGGTATCATGAAGATTTTAATATTTAGTTAACAGATGTAAGTAAAGAGATATAATTTATAAATAAATATAACTTGTATCAATCAATATTAATTTATCACCATCTTATTAAAATAAGTCTCAAATTTTAATTTTGTGCAATATATAATTAAAATATAAATTAATTGTTCTCATTCTAGAATAAACAGTATTTATTAATGTTGATTTTTGTTGAATCATAATTATGATGAATTTATTTATTTTTATAATAGTTATATTAAAAAGTCATGCTAATTTTAAGCTTCTATTTATTCAGTCTTTAATTGAACAATATGATATATACATTCTATCTTCTCATAAATATCTTTTATAATTTTTTTTCTAATATTATAATTATTTGGTCTAAGACCTTGACTAATATATATATATATATATTATAGTTGTTATAAAGAAGCTTATTTTATTTTAATTTTTATTCAACTGAATTTACAATTTATATATTTGTTTCGTATTTATAAAAAAAAACATAAAAGTGTTTTGATAATTTATTTATTATTTTTTATTAATTTAATTATATTTACAATCCTTAAAATTTTATGTAATTTTTTTAATTTTAAAAAATAATTCTACTTAAAATAAAAAACATTGTTATAATCTCAACAATGAAACAACATTAACCAAAGTGATAAAATAATAATGACACTATCATTATAAGACACGTTCACTTGCAAGCATCACATCACTAGTTCCATCAATATAGTACGTGTTTAGAACTAATAGAATATGATCTTTTAATTTAAATAAAGTTACTCAAATTTCATAGACTAGGAACATAATTAAACCCTTTTTAATTTCACAAATAATTTGGAACCCCCACAAAGAATGGATGCAAGAAATGTAATAGATTTGAAGGTAGGGAAATGATGGGAGAATGGGAAGGGGTCATCTCTTATTCATTAAATGATCCAAATGTACAGTGTAGGACCAGAAACAAGTCAATGCTAGGTTCAGTTGATCTTCAATATAGGGTAGGCACACCCACACACAACGCTATCATGCCTAATTGGTGAAGTGAGTTTGATCCAGAACTACATGTGATACCCACCTAAATAAATCAATTTCATGTTCAGTTTCTGTGCACTTGTCATGGGGTAGCATCAGCCAGCAATGCAAGTTGGACTTAAACACAACTTCATGCACAACCATCCACTCGTACTTCTCTTCTCATTCCGACTATTCAACAAACAATTTTTTTCATTGTTTGTGTCATGGAATATATAATATTATTGCTACTACTTTCTTGTAGTTATTCTTATTATCACCATTTTCAATCAACAAAAATGCTTCTAATAACAGTTTGTGTCCCACTGTTTCCATTTTCATCAATTTGGTTCCTTTAAATATGGAAATTTCCCTGTTCACACACCCCCTTTTGTCCTTCTGAAACAGCAATCAGAATTGGAATTTTGAATTGGTTTTACTTCAAATCTGTTATATCAATTCTAGGTCTCTTCAAGAAACGGCAAGACTCACGTTAATTTTAACCATGATGGCGATGGATTTGAATATCACTTTGAAAATATATCCTTTTTTTATGATTTATATGTTAAATTTTGAATGAGTATGACTAAACGAATAAAAATAATAACATTAATGGTTCTTTCTTCAGCAGAGAATAAGAAAAACAAGAAAAGTTGTCCAACGAGTGAGTGGAAAAAAAAAAAATCTGACCCAGTTAACTCATTAGATTAGTAGGTCTCCTCAAATTAATAAAATGTTAAATCATAATGTTAATCCAAAATAGGATATTGTCTTAGCCAATTGAACTAGAACCAGAGTTGATTCCAATCAAATTTTAGTAAATAGGAATTTTTAAAACTGCTAAAACTGATCTTAAACATATCAAACTGATTCCGTTTATTACCAAAATTCACTGTGAATTATAATATTTTTCTATTGAAAATTAAAGGTTAATGTTTTGATATGTTAAAATCGTTTAAGAAGCTAAATTCTTCCTAGTATGCTTCCATGGAATAGGATAAAGATCAAATTTGTAACCATGTGTAATATATATATATATATATATATATATATATATATATATATAGAGAGAGAGAGAGAGAGAGAGAGAGAGAGAGAGAGATAATAAACTGAAGATGATGTTAGAGTCCTAGGATGAGCAGTTTTAACTCTTTAATTTGTATTGTAAATTTCATGTTCGTATTTTGAAATGATAACGAATTGGTGTCTTTGATGTTTACCTTTACAAGATGGAAACAATGAAATGTACAGATTTAATAAGGTCAAATCAATTGACAGAATTGGTTCAGAAGGTGATGAACTCAACTTTCGTTGCCACTATTCTAAATATTATGTACTTGCTTCTAACATTTGTTTGACCATGCAACAAAGAACGTGCTTCTAACACCCAAAGCTCATTCTTGAAGTTCAAAGTGTCAGAAGGCTCTTTCTCCTATTCTCTTATTTTGTCTGTGCAGACTTTATCATGTCATGTAGCATTATGCAGTTCAGATGTAATACAGGCAATCTCTTGAATGTTGTTCAAATGAGGCCCTAATGATTACATACCTTCTTTTTCAAGTTTACAAACAAATGATGGGGGAATTTTTTTTTATTTATTTATTATTATCTCCAAGTACCCTGAGATTTTTTTTAGTTTGATTTTGCAGTCGCAATTGTCATATCACAACACCATCAGATGATACCTCAACAATCAACATCTTAATGCCACCACTTTGTTTTTCATTTATTGATTTAACAATGCTGACTAAAATTGCACTGTTTAAAATAAAGAGATGTATTTCTTATAAATTTTATGACAGAGATATCAATAAAATAAATAAGCCTTTCACTTATTTTGTATGAGATCAATAAATTTAAATATATAAAAACTAAAGACATTCAACTTGAGTATTGGGTTACGTGTATTGAGCTTAATAAAACTTAAAAGCAAAAGCATGTGAAGCCCATTCAACTGTGGCAGTCTAGAATTGATATGTATATTAATCTTATAGATAAAACAACTATAAAAATAAATTTGACTTGAATATATGTTAGTTATCTTTATTAGTTGCTTTCCCTTGAAACACTACACAATAGAGTTAAATAAATGAGCTTCTTATCACAGCTTAATAGTAAAATATAAACAAGCATTATTCACATCAAAAGTTTTTTGTATGGAGTAACAAAAATATTATAAAATTTAAACAATCCTAACCATCCACAGGATGGTAATGTAAACAAAATTGCCAGGTAGTGTATTTTCCTTGTACGTACACCCGAGATGAATTATCAGAGTCTCTTGAGATGCTGATTTTTGGAACTGTAGTTCTCTTCAACGTGTCGGGTAAGAAGAGAGATTCCATAATGCGAGGCACTCGAGGAAGCATAATAGGATGTTACAGTGAGCTGAGTGAACTTTGGAAGCACATAACCTAAAAATTCCACATGTATCCATATTACTAAGGTATTTAAAACATATAGTATCATCGCCACAATAAGCTACATCTCAAAGTGATTTTTCTTATAAAACTATATGACATACCACATGGCAAGAAATATATTATGGCAAAACATCACTTCAACCTATAAGCAATATTGATAAAACAGCCTGGATGTCAAGCCCCAATTTCTAAATATCACATTCTAATACTATAGTCAATTGAAACAAATAAAGGTGCAATTGCAGAAAAGCAATGCCATTTACGCACAACAACTACTGCAAAGCTCCAACGTACTGGGGTAGCCAGAAGTTGTGGCATGAATTGCCATCTGCACTAAATAGAGCATTACAACCACGATGTTTCTTCAAAATTGGACTTTGTTATGTCTTTTTCATTTCTTTTTAATCAAAATCCCTTTTCTACCCTCACTGGAGGTGGCAAGATTTCTATTTTTCTCTTGCATATGCTAAGGAAATCTCTAATTTTTTCTCACTCAAACCCATTTTCCACCAACCCATTAATTTTTTTATTTTAGGTAACTCCTTCATGCTCTGCAAACAGTTAGGTCTCCATATACTGTCAATTGGTCATGACTGCAGGCTACAAGATGGCAAGGGCTGAACTTGTTAGGAACTTAAGATACTGGACAGAAAAGCAAAATACTAGGGATAACGACAAGAACTGAAAGAAAACTTTCCAGTATTATAGTTAGCTTCAGTGAAACATATGTAAACCAGAACAAAACAGGCTCCTGCAGACTTTGGAGATGCCCCCCCTCCCTCCTCACAGGACTATTGCAAAATTCACATGCACCTCTCCCCCTCAAACCCACCCGACAGTACCCCAAATTTTGGCATAAAAACTGATTAACAACCAGCCAGCACAGCTCAGCCTAACATTTCCTGATTCTCTGCTAGATTCCCCTACTTCACTCATCTGGTAAACCCTCCAAACTTTGGGCCTTGGGTCATTAATTCCCCTTTGGAGTCATGGGTCGTATCACTACCCTCCTCTCGAAGAATTGCCTTGTCCTCAAGGCAAAAACGGGGAACTGACTATGTAGTGTCATGAATAGATTTTCCCTTCCATTTCACTAATCACTGGTGTACAGCCTCTCCATGCTTGGGGTTGAAATTCTCACTTTCATCCCAAAAAATTGTAACTGTTGCTTACTGTAATCCGTAAGAGTTATAAATTAAGACATTAGTCCTTGAGATTTGAAACTACAATAACTTTAATTCCTGACATTAGTTCACATCAAAATCTAATGATGGAGCAATGCCTAACAAGTTTAGTGACATGCTTGGGATGGACCTTAAACCACTTTTGATTTGTAATTTCCAATGCTCATCATGCTTCAGCCCACTCAAATAAAAGCTAATATACTACTACATGGATGAGAAGAGATTAGCTTCAATGTTTCGATAAATTCATCAATAGACCCTGTTTGCCTTAAATAAAAAAATCTCTTGAAAAGGATTTCTGAATTTCCAAATGTATTAAGCTATTAAAGCTCTCTTGCATTTTCCCCATGTAAGATGATAGAGATCTGAATAAGGATAGAGATTGAATCATACTGATTAATAAGGAAATGTTCTACTGGAGGTAATCAAGAAACCATGAGGAAAATACCCCCATAGCCCGAGCTACTACAGGAAGACAATCCCTCACTCCTCACACTAGGACAGACATCACTAACTAACATCTCGCTTTGCCCTTTTCTTTCTTCTAGAATATACTTTCCAATTGGCTGGATATTTTGGGCTTTCTGGAAATGTGATACACTTCCCTATTGGGCTCAATAGCATATTAGAAGATCCTATTTCCCAGAAAAGGTTATACCAGTGGTCCTCCAGGTATTTTGGACTTCAAAATACACTGCAACTCAGGTTATCCATCCAACAGGCTATTGGGAGCTTCCCCTTTCTAATGGATATAAAATACTCCATATGGTCTACCTTGCTTCCCAACTAAGAAGGCCACACCCACTGTTAATTTCTTTCAGTGGATCACCCCCAACCTACGTCCCTGCCATCTTGATTACTTCATGCAAGATGGAAAAATAGATATCAGCCACCTCAGCCTTGAAGAATACTGGATTTCTACAAAGCAAAAATCAATAACAATAACCCTTGCCTATAAGATAGGGATGTAGACTGTAGCTTTGTTTACCCAAGATAATGCAATCACCCACCATAGCAAATTTGCAAGATCTGAATGAAAATTATCCATGCTTAGTAAGTTTCAGTAAAATATACTGGACCATATCAAAAGGCTCCTACAGAAACACAGTTTCCTTACTGGAGTATTACAACATTCACACACCCCTCTTACTCATGGACCTATCCTCAAAAAACCTAGTAACTTTTGCATAACAAACTGTCTAGCCACCTACCTGCTCAGCTCAGCCCACAGTTTCCTGATTCTCCTTTTAATTCCATTTCCTCCTACTGAACTCTCCATACCTATGGCATCCTATCATTAAAATCCAATAACTTTCCTTCTATTCGAATAGATTATTTGTTCAGATAGATTGACCTATCATTACTAAAACCTGTTTTTCTAATTAGCTACCGGCACCTAGGTATAGCCTTTAATACCTAAGTAATCATTGCTTTTTTTCCTATAAATAAATGGATCGACTAAGAGATAATTAATCTCTTAAGCTCTTTCATCATTTTTTTAGTCTTAAGTTGGTATCACAGAAAGTCGATCCTGCTCTGTATGTTTTGTCCAGTGGGTCCATGGCTGTCTGCCATTGTCCACCACCCTCGGCCGCTGTCCACCACCAATCATGGACCCTACCAGAACTCCTCTCCCCTTCATGTTGTTTGTGGCCAATGGTTGGGAGTGGTTATTAGCTGGCTTGTTTCTAAATCTTGTCAAACAATCTTCTTTCCTTTAGACTATTTTGTTGTTTTGCTGCTTGTTTACATTTCACTGGGTATAGCTAATAAATTCTTAGAAAGTGGATTTAGACCTAATCCAACTTTATAAAACTGGTTTATAAGATAAGGATTCCCACCACTTACATGTTTGTTGTGATACTCTTTCTAATCGATGACACTTCGGCTTTTTTCTAATACAGATGATTATAGACGTCAAGAAAAACATGTCTCTTTTGTTCTTTGGGTATTAAAACTAATATACCTTTGATATCATCAGTTACATCTTTACCTCAAGTTGCAAGTTGTGATCTTTTCATGCAATTTCAGTTGTAGTTAGATGATATGCTAGTTGTGATCATATGGCTATTTTTCCTATTTCAGTCATCATAATGCATTTATATTGTTTCAATTATTATTTCATATGCTGGGTTCTTACAATCCATGTTATTAGCACACATACTTGGATTCACAACACTGTTTCAAGTAAACCAATAGGCAAAAGGAGAAACAAATGGGGTATAACCTATCATTTCATGCTTCTTTTTATGTTAAAGCCACCACCATGCAATAGTTGTCAAATATTCAGCTGTGAGCACTATCAAAAATTTAAGGAACCAAATATAAACCTAAGATATGGCATGTATAGAAGTTACCTCCAAATGCAGCACTTATGCCTGAGAATATCAACAATGGAGGAATCTGTGAACAAATCATAAAAGAAGTAAGTTACCTATAGAATATAACCGAACTCTATGGTACATCAGAACATATAATATGCTAAGTATAAAAGGAAAGCGTAAAGAAGATGAAACCAACTTCTATGCTAAGTTTATTTAAGGCATCAACAAAGCATAAAGCCAAGTAATTTTAACTTGCAAAGTAAACACAAAAGTTAGTCAAGGTCTACATACCCCAACTACAAAAGGAAGCCACTTTGGTCCCTTCAGACCATTTTGAATGTACGGTAAACCTACAATCAAAGATAATTAGCAATATCCTCAACAAAGAAGGAACAAGGATTTTAATTTTAATCCATAATCAGCGCAAAGGGTTTAATATTATCATTAAATACTATAATATTACAACAACAACGACAAAGCGATATCCCACTGGTTGAGGGCAGTTACATATGGATCAAATGCGGTTTGGCTCGACTAGAATATCTCCAAAGGGAATTGCTACTAAGAGTTGCTTAAGAATAAAAGTGAATATGGATCTACATCTGAATTGCTTAAGAAAATTGCTTAAAATTGGAAGAAAATTATTTAGATAAACAACTCTGATTAAGTTTTAAATAACTCAACTAAGACTCGTAATAAAATATTTAATTTTATTTTTAAACAATTCATGTTAAAAACTCCCTTTAAAGATGTTCTTAAATACCAAAATTTCAAAGATGTTGAAATGCCTTATAAAGAATAATAATATTCCTAATTAAAAATATAGATCGTTAAAATATGTTTTAAACTAAATGGCCTGAATTTAATGCTGAAAAGACATGGCGTATCAACTTTACATTAAATTTAACTTAATCTCCATTGGGCCAGAAAGAAGAAAACAAATAATTAAAGGTACCTGTATTCAGACCATAAACTGCACTAAGCATACCACCAATCCCCGAGCCAGCCTGCTCAACAGCAAACACAAAGACAATAAGCAACAATAAAGAACATCCATAGAAACAAACTTACAGTCAAAATTCCAGCCTCATAAGGGATAGTTTGAACTTTAAATTCAAAAAACAAAAATAGTAATTTTTCAATAACCTCAATCTCATTAGAATATTAAAATTAATAGAATCATTATTGTAAAAATACGATAAACTCAAAGCAGACCCAATTGGAAAGAGAGGAACTTACGACAGCAGTGGCGTCGTGCAAGACAGGAGTGATGGTCCACTCGCCTCTTTCCTGATCACAAAATAAAGATAATTTTGTTGAATCAATTCATAGAACACCTTATGCGCAGTAACAAACAAAAACGTTGAGAAAAGCGAGAGAGACACTAACGGAATTAGGGTTGAGGAGAGAGAGACAGCGAGGGCATCGAGGAGAACCGAGGCCAGGGTTGAGGGTGGGATCGTGGTGGAGATTTCCGGTCCTTAGTTTCTCTTCGTAGACCTCTCGAGTTCCCATTCTTTACTCCCTGTTAAGCTTCGATTGGTGTCACTGAAGGGGTTAGAAAGATGACCAGGAATACTCATATTTTAATTTAAAATAAATTTGTAATTATCTTTTTATTCTATTGCTTATGGTATGTTTATCTTGTACATAATTTTTCCTTTTTAAAAAAAAAAATATATATATATATATATATATAAATAAAATTAGTCATACCAATTACCAATATAAAAGATTTATTAAAATATTTTTCAGAATAAAAATATATAATTTTTTGAAGTACTTATTTTAGAAAATAAAAATAGAATTGTCTTTAGCTTTATTGTTATCTAGATTGTGAAAACAACGAGAGAAATGTTAATGATAATGTGAAACATATTCCTACATTACTCAATAGGTAATTTTGATGATGATTCAAATCAAAACATTCAAGACTCAAGCAAACTCAAAATGATTCCTGAAAATAAGATAAAGTTTTAGAACACTGAATATAAAGGTACAAGTTGATGATGTGGTGTTATGCATAAGCCTCTAAAGCATAAGTTAGAGAAAATAATAAGTAAGTTTTCAAAATCTTATGAAAATCTTGATTCTATATTAGGTTTATCAAAGAGGGGGGATTCTAGCAAAGTTGGACTAGGTTACAAACCCAAAAAAAGTCTAGAATCTCATAAAATTATTTTTGCGAAAGAGTCAAGGAAAACATATGTGAAACCAGTTTCAAAAACTTTAAGAAACTCATTTAGACCTTTTCAAAGAAAATCAACATATTTTTATTGCATGAAATTAGGTCATACATCAAATAGATGTTACATAAAGTATATTGGTATATCTAATGGAAAATATGAATGGGTGTCTAAAGGGTTAAAACATTTATACATGTCTAGATGATAGTTTGAGCATCTAATAGATTATGAATTTTCAGGAAAAAAAAAATTCTTGTTGTCATAATCAATTATGTTGATTCTCAAGGTGTTGTGATAATCGATTATTATATCATGGTTCAATTCTTTTATCCTTAGTCTTTTGACAGAGATTTGTGATTCTACTAACCTTCTTAAGGACCCAAAAACAATTAAAGGGTATCTAGATTTGTATGTTGATGTTGCAAGTAATTATTAAGGATAAGAAATCAATGCAGGTTATTAGAGCTAAATGGGTGTACAGGAACAAATTAGATGAACACGGAAATATTACAAAGATAAGTTTATTATTATCTCTCATGCATCTGCATTGAATATCTGCATTTATATGTCACATAAATTCGATTGTTGACCAATTTTGAAATTTAAAAATTTTGAAAATTGAAAGTCTTAATTTTGAAATTTGAAAATTTGAGAATTTTGAAAATCTAAATTTATGAAAATTTGAAATTATAAAGTTTGAAATTTGAAAGTTTAAGAATTTTAAAATTTTGTAGTTTGAGATTTTAAATTTGAAATTTTTGCGAGTTTAAGATTTTTGAATTTGAATTGGAATAGAAATTTGAAATTTAAATTTGAATTTGAAAGTTGTCTCAATAAGAGGATCTGCAATTTCGAAACTATTGCATTTTATTTCATTATCTCTGCAATCGTTTCATTCTCCTATCTTTCTCTTTCTTCATTTGTCTTGGGTATCCTATATATTGTCTCCTTAAGATAATGTTCTTCTCTATGATACTTTGTGATACATTATCTTCTCTACCTTATTTCTATATGTTAATCTATGCAAATTTGTGTTAAATTTTCCTAACAATATTTTTCATAATTATCAATAAAATAGGGAGAGATTTTGATAATATTAATCTATGTAAAACAGGGGGGATTTTTTTGATGAATTAAAATCTATATGAAATCCATTCATAATTCTAAATTAATCAGGGAGAGTTAAGAGAAGTCTTTGCTCATATGAGTTAGGGGGAGTCTTGTTATTAATATATCTTGGGCGAGATTAAAAGACTCTGACACTTAATATAAATTTGTGTTAATCTGTACTACACTATACTATGCAAATCTGTGTTTATCTTGAGCTAACTATATAGAGTCAAGCATTTTAATTCATTTCAGGTGTTTACTTGATCATCATCAAAAAGGGGGAGATTGAAAGCAATAAGGGAGAGATTGATGACAATGTGAAACATGTCCTACATTCCTAATAGATGATTTTGATGATGATTCAAGTCAACAACATTCAAGACTCAAGCAAGCCCAAGATGATTCTTGAAGACTAGATAGAGTCTTAGAATACTCGATATGGATCAAGTGGTATTATGCATAAGCCTCCAAAGCACAAGTGTGATAAAATTTTGTAACATAACATTTTTCACTGTCATAATCAATTATGATGCATCAGAAATGGAAAAACAATTTCTCTCTGTCATAATTGATTATACTAGTAACATAATCGATTATGGTAGTTCAAATTTGAAAAATATATCCGTTTTGAAGAATAAATGTTTTTGAATACATCTTGATTTTTCTCTATGAAATTATTAATGACCAACGAATATTTTTTTATGCTATTTTTTTATTTAATTAAGTTTTGATGGAAAATAAAAAACACACAATTACAGAATTCGAAAATACAATTTACATTCAATCAGTTTTGAGAAAATAATTTTGAGCAAGGCAACAGAGCATCTTAGGTTTTCTAAGAAAACTTTTCTATATTGTCTTATGCGCTTTCATTAATCACATTATGGTCTTAGAGGTTATCATTCTACAGGCTTCTACAATTTGTTGTCTCCATTTCCCAAGTGTGACTGTTCTTATTTTTATTACCTTCATCATTTGTGGATGATTGTTCTTATCTTACTCTTTCATCCTTTGTGGGTTTAAGAGGTTTAAGTTAATCAATTGTGTTATTCATATTTGATTTATTCAGAGGAGGTGTTCATCCCTAGTGTGATTTTAGGGAGGTGTTCATCCTTTGTGTATTGGTGGCAAATGAGGTATTTTTCATCCCTACTGGGATTCTAGGAAGGTGTTCATCCTTAGTAAGATTCTAAAGAGGTGTGTTCATCCTTTGATTTGTTCAGAGGAGGTGTTCATTCCTAGTGGGATTCTAAAGAGGTGTTCATCCTTAATGGGTTTCTAAGAAGGTGATTGTCTTTTGAATTCGTTTACTTTTTGCTGAGTTGATTGTAATTTGTGAACTAAATTTAAAATATAGTGAATTAGGGTCACTCTTGTGTTAAGAGTTGACTGAGAACTGGATGTAGGGTTGGCTATACCCGAACCAGTATAAATCATTGTGTGCTCTTCTCTTTTCCTTATCTTTTTCACTGCATTACTCTCCTTACACCTCTTATTTTTATCTCTATCTTGTTGATATTTTATCTCTCTGATTATATTGTTTTCGTTCTATCTTTGTTCAATTTGATAATTAAAATTGAATTAATAAATATTAAATATCTTACAATAAATTTTTAATTTGACATCTATTTTAATTTGTATATCTATTCACCCCTCTGTCATTTGTCAAAGAGATTAAATAGGCTAAAACGTTAGTATTATCATTTTTTATTTTAAAATTAAATTAAATTTATATGTAATTGGTATTTTAGTCTATTATATATTAATTGTCGTGTTTCAATTAAAAAATTATATAAATAAAAAATTAAGATTAAAAGAGTAAGTGAATCTTTCTCTCTTACATATAGAAGATAATTTTAATTAAATTAGTTATTATAATTATTTTAAGAAATATATATATATATATATATATATATATATATTGTTTAAATTTCATATTTTTTCCAAATGATAAATTTATAATTTATAATTATGCATATTAATGTTATCTTTTTATTCTTATTATATTATTTACCTTCTCCTCAAACTAGGGTTTCCATCTTTTGATGAAAAAAAGCTACATGTAGAAACTATCTTTCCATTAAAATTAAAAATTGACTTTAAGATGAAAATTATTTTGTGTTTAAAATGAAAAGTTTCATAGGATAATTTGTTCCACTCAAGTTAAAAATTGACTTAGTGAGTAGATAAAAAAGTAAAAATCTTTATTGGGTTTAAAATGGAAATTTAAGTGAATAATTTGTTTTTATATTTAATTCAAAAGGTTTGATATTGAAGGATGTTTAGATAATAAAATTTTAAAAAAATTATAAATTTTTAAAATAATTAAATCAATTAATTAAAATCAGATAATTTTAAATTTTATATAAAAAAATAATTTAAAAATATTTTTTTTAATGACAACGGAATGAGGTTTAAAATTAAAAACCTTAGTTTCCGTACCGCTTAAAAAAAGTATTCGTTATTTTATACATGACGATTTCTAAACACTCACAGATATTTTTTCAATAATTATTTAAAATACAAAATAAAAAAATATATCTTAAAATATAATAAAAAAACATGTCATAAAATAATGGTATAAATAAAATTAATTTTTCTAAACCATAAATTTAAATAAATTGTATTACAAAAATATAAGTTTAATTATCTCATGCGAATCGAGATCGTTTACGCGATTAATTATGGCATAATTTTTTGTTACGTTAATAATGTCATTTTTCTATGTGTCAAGATTTTTAAGTCAATAATTTTTTAAAAGTTTATATTATAGAAATTATATATTCATTGATATAGGTTTGGTTTGAGATGATAAGAAATTATATATTTTAATATATATATATATATATATATATAAAAGAAATTATTTATATATGATAATTATAATATTTCATGTAAATAAAAAATAAAAATTTAAATTATTTTATTAAAATAAAATAATTAAAAAATAAATAATTTTAATTAAAATAATTTAATTTCAAATTTTAATGTATTTTATTTTTTAAAAGTCATGTTCAAACCGGAAGGGCACGGCTCCCGCTAAATTAAATATTATATATATTAATAATTTTATTTTTTTATAAATATAAATAAAATTTATTTATTTTTATTTGTAATAAATATCATATTTATTTTTATATTATTTTTATTTTTTACTTTTTTTAGTTTTAGATTTTTATTTTTTTCTTATATTTTCATTTTTTATTAACTTTTTTTCTA